TGATGACCTAAAACCAAAGGCAAAAAAAATGTCTCTTTGTTTTAAGAAAGTTTATGAATTTGTGTTCATTCAAAGCTGTCATAGCCCACATGTGGCCCAAGGGCTGTGGGTTGGACAATCTTGGTTTACATGCTTTTGGTATTTTCTAGAAATGTTTGGTAATTTGTAATTAAATGACTTTGCTAATTCTGTACTCTTGTATCAAGAAATTTTTTTCATCTAATGAAGACATTGTCTAAATATGTTTTGAATAATAATATCTGGACATTTTCTTTTACATATGAAAGTACTATACATGCTCAATTATAACCAGTCTGCTTCCTATTTTGTTCTCCGTTCTTCTTGTTATTCTTCAATTGAGCTATCCAATTTCCTATAAACAAACAATATATTTAATTTCCTTACTACTGATGGCTTTTTCGTATTGTTTTCAGCTAAGAAAAAATGAAATCAATAAGAATTTTACTTCTCTTTAAGAATTTATAAAGTAATAAAGCCTGTTATAAAAATTCAAGCAGAAGTATATAATAAAAATTGAAAGTCCCCCTTTACTCACATCCTAACCTGTCTCTCTCCTCTTTTGCAAAATCCAGTTCCCCCAACACATAAATATAATTTATTGTGATACTGATTTATGCTTTCTTCTTGTTGCAATTTCTCCTCACCCATGTAACAAAGTATCAAGGCTACTTCAACTTCCTGGCCTTAGGAAATGTTTGTATGTGCAAAGCAACAGAAAGTTATGGGGTGGAGCGGGGCGGGGGATGGGGTGGGAATGCAGAGAATGGTTGAGTGGTTTCTTTAGAATAAAACCTGAAACTCCAGGGTTCTCAGCCTTAGCAATGATTTGCCAGTCTCAAATACTTGGCTTTAAGAGAACATATGTATATACGGGCATTCACCATCTCGAGGTGAATGAGGAGTAGATAATTGAAGGTCTCCTTTGAATACATTGCCCTGTGCAAGGGGCCCAGACCTTGCATGATTTAGAATGAAGTAAGAGTTCATAACTAAGACTGAATATCCTATCAGCTGATTAGATGGAGGACTAGAATTGAAGATCATAAAATATTTCAATGTATCTTCCACACAGTCTATGAAGAAAGATTTATAATCATTACACACACACACACACACACACACACACACACACACACACACCCCTCCACCTCTGGCAAAAGAATACTAGCAATACCTTGAATCTGTTTAACTTTTCATTTTGTTAAAGACTTTCACATATACCATTTAAATGGATCCTCAATTTCACAAAAAAGTATATTAAAACAGAAGTTGAGATTTACCCGAGAATACATAATTTTAAAATACAGAATAAGCATTCATTAAAAGATCTGGACTTCTTTCCTTTATACTATATTTGGTATATACACTGAACATCTATCACAGGCATGATGACACATGCATATAATATGCATGCTCTTAAGGCAAAATGCAACCATGAGGATTTTAAATATGAATGGCACAGAATATGGTCAAGATGGAACATTCAAAATTTCAAAAAGGTGAAGGTCATTAAAAGCTTTAGAAAATTAAAGCACTGCATGAGTTGAGTCTTTTCTGAAGGGATTTTATTAAATTCGCAATCTCAGAGCAATGAAGAGACTTCTACTTTTGACCAAGTTGATCAAGATGGAGTAACAGGGTCCAAATTAATTCTACCTGAAACAACTAGAAAGCTGGACTACATAAATGCTTTTACGTATTGGACTCTGGCAGCACAGGACAGTCATCCCTTAAGAAGGGAAGACAAATGAGGTAAGCTCTAAGGAATGCCTGAGCTTACTGTCTGAATCAGAGCTTTCACATTGCAGCCTAGGGAAGGAGATCTAGCTGGGGTTATGAGAAGACTGAGCTGGGAGTCCACAGACGTCAAAAGCTTAGAGTTCACAGAGCAGAGTACTGCACACAGAGTGCCAGAGATCTGTAGAGGCACCCCTACAAGTCTTCAGTAGAGTACTAGTCATCAGATGTGTGTGAGGAAGCCATGAACCTCCTGAAAGGAAGAAGTGCAATAGTTGGGGTTTACATGTGGATGGGAAGTTTATGTTCCCACTAGCTGTAGTGTAAAAACTTCACAATCCAGACAGTATCATATAGAATATGTCAAAATGTATTGCTTGAGTAGTGGAGCACCATTAGTCCTGGACTAAACACTGCTTTGCTATCACCAGGAAGTCACAAAAGAAAGCCTGAAAGGGTAAAACACTTTTCAATAATTGTATTCCATGACAAAGCTGTGAATATTTATAGAAATGCAAAAATATCAAGCACCTAACAAGATACAGCTCACATGTCTAGAATCCAATCAAAAGTCATTAGACATTATAAAGTGACCAAGAAAATAGTACCTTAATGAGAATAAAAATGAATCAATATATACAAAGTCAAAAATGACTCAGAAAATAAGGATATTAAAAATTGCTATAATTATATTCCATATATTAAAAAAGGCAGAGATTAAGCATATTATATAGAAAAAGGTAAGAAACCGAAAAGAACTACTAGAGTTGAACACTATCTGATATTAAAAATACAGCACATTTTAGAATAAAAGATCAATGAACTTCATGAAGTATTTAAGGCAGAAGAAAAATGACATCATATGGAAATTTAAAGTGATATCATGGAATGAAGAACATTAGAAAAAGAAAATGTAAGGGTAATATAAAATTTTAAAAAATATTTTTAAAGGATAATTTCGCTTCAGGCTGTGATGTAATAACAGGGACTCTTATTCTTTCACCTGAGACAAAGAAACAAATAAATAGCAAAATACTGTAAAAAACTCTTTTCAAAAGCAGTGGACATTGGGTAGTAAAAGACAGTGAACCCTCAGAGATGGGAAACGGTGAGCTTTATGACTACTCTGGCTTACTGACTTGAGTGAGTTCCCAGTCCACGGTACAGGGAGGATAAATCCATGGCAAAACCTGGTGTACTCCCTGAGGTGAGATGCAGAGTTATGAGTTTGAGTAGATCAAGCTGGCCACAGCTGATAGGGCAGAGTGTCAGAGACTAGGGAGGTACACAGACAGAGAAGCCCTGAGATCTTGCGATGCGCTATCTTGAGTATCAAGCAGACTGCTGATCACCATAGGTGTGAGTAAACGCCCTCAGGCTGGGGAAAGAACCACCCAAAAATATCAGAGGGCACTCCAAGCACAAGACACGTGAGAAATTACACCAAGACACAGAACAATTCAAGTTGGACAAAATCAGTGATCAAAAGAAACTACTAAAACCAGCAAGAACAAAAAGACACAACAGATAGAACAGAGATAAAAATGACAAAAAATGTATTGTCCGAAATTATTCAAGTAAGAAGATAGGAAAACAATGTGTTTAAAACACTAAAACACGTTAATCTGGAATTCTACACTCAGTGAAAATATCTTTCAAAAACAAATTAATAGCAATACTATATAATTTCTCCCAGAAAAGAGGAAAAATACTACCCAATTTGTTTTATGAAGCTAATATTGTCCTGATACCAAAACCAGACAAAAATAGTTTAAAACAAACCAAAACTACAGACCAAAATCTTTTGTGAACATAGACACAAACATCCTTAACAAAGCATTAGTGAATACAATTCAGCAATATATAAAAAGAATTATACAATATAACCAAGGCAGTTTATTTCTGGAATGCAAGACTGACTCAATATGCCAAAATTGAGCACCACAGTAACACACTGAAAAAGAAAAATCACAAATATATTAATTGTTACAAAAAAGTCATTGGACAGAATTCAGCAGTCATTCATGGTAACAACTCTCAGAAAAGCAGGAACACAGAGGAACATCATCAATTTGATAATGGGCATCTATTAAAACACTATCGCTAACATATTTAATGATGTAAGACTGAATGCTTTCTCTGGAGACTGGGAACAAGCCAAGTATGTCTGCTCTCACCACTCTTGTTCACCATAGTACTAGAAGTTCTAGCCAGTGTAATAAGAAAATAAAAGGCATATATTTGGAAAGGAAAAAACAGCACTGTTTTAGTTTGTAGATGACATAACAATCCTAAAAATGTACAGAAAAACTCCTAAAATTAACTGAGCTCTATAAGATCAAGACCAACATATAAAAATTGTGATTCAATATGCTAGAGAAAAAGCACACAAAAACTGAATATAGTAATACAAACCACTTAAATCAATTACAAAATAAAACACAAGTATAAATCTAACAAAACATACAGAACTTGTATGTAGAAATCCTCAAAAACACTGATGAAAGAAATGAAGTATCTAAATAAGTGAGTAACATATCAAGTTTGTAGACTGGAAGATTCAGCATAGTAAGGATGCAAATTCTCCCCAAATTGACATATAAAGTAATTCCTATCGAAATCCCAGCAAGATTTTTTTTGTAGATACAGACAAGGTTATTTAAAAATTTATGTGGAAAGGAAAGGAACAAAAATAGTCAAAAACAATCTTGAAAAAGAATAAATTGAGAGGACTTACTCTCCCTGATTTCAAGATTATATATAGTTATAGTAATTAAGACTGTGTGATACTGGTTGAAGCATGGACATCAATCAGTGGAACAGAAGACAGAACCCAGAAACAGAACTACACAGGCAAGATCTAGCTGGATTTTGACAAAGGTGCAAAAGTATTTCCACTATAGGAAAGATACTCGTTTTACGAAATAAGGATGAGACACTGTTAATAAGCATGTAAACTGATTAACATATTCATTTAGAAAATGCAAATTAAGCCACAATATACTACTACTATATACTTATTGAATAGATAAAATTGAAGGATGAGTCATAATGACTGTTGGCAAGGATCTAGAGCAATAATACTCTCATTCACTGCTGCTAGAGTGTAAAATGGCACAATTATTTTCTCAAAGAGTTGCCTATTTCTTGGAAGGTTGCAAGTATGCCTAAAATATAACCCAGATGTTCTACTCCTACTTAATTACCAAACAAAAATAACACACATAGGTCGACGCAGAGACTCTTACATGAATATTCATAGCAGCGTTATTTATTACAGCCTCATATTGGATGGAAGCAACCTAAGTATCTGTCAGTGGTGAATATATAAACAAATAGTGATACATCCACACAATGTATTACTGAGCAATAAAACAGATGAACTATTAATGCACACAACATGGAAAAATCTCAAGATAATTTTGTTGAATGCAAGCAGGCAGACATTGCATGATTCTATTTACACAAATAGGGATAATGTACATTTTACCAAACTTAAAAAGTTGTGAGGATCAAATAAAATGAGATATATGCCTGAGAGAGAACCAACTAATATATGAAAATATTATTTATAGTATTTTCATTGAAGTAATACAATTTCATTTTTCAGTCATTATTTAACAATATATTCCTGGAACCAGATGATGACTCTCCTTATGGTTAATCTTTATTGAGTGTTTATCATGTACTGGTTTTCAGCTATTTGTTTATTTATTTAAATCTCAATAAAAATCCCATAGGATAAGTATTATTAGTATCATTTTACAGATAAGATTAAGACCTAAAGCAGAGCAGTAATTTGGGTTAACAGGGAATAGAGCTCCACTGAGAATCAGGAAACCTGAATTTCTTGTGTTGACCTGGAAGCTGTGGGAAAGTCTTTAACCCCTCTATCATCATTATTAAATACCAATAACAATTACTCAGCTTACTGCACAAAGCTCTTGTGATGATCAAATGAGATAATGTGAAATCGCTTTATAGAATATTAATGTTATTCTGTGGAAAATTACATGAACACAAATATCTTTGGAAAGGTAATTTAAATAAAGTTGTAGAAAAGATAAAATAACACTATCCTAAGTCCTTTCATGTTTTTTCATTGTCCTTATTAATATTAGTTAAAAATACTTTATTTCAAAAATTTAAACATTTAAATACTTAAAAGGTTTCCAAATATTTGCAGAATTGAGTCTGAAAAATTATGCACAGATGTTTGTCTATTGATTTTCATTAATAAGACTAGCTACTCTCTACAGTGATAAGCATTTTAATAATAAGTAAGTCAGGAAATTGAGATTTCTTAATATTTTAATTATCATTATAATTTGGCAGTAAAAATCACTTTTCACAAAGACATTACACGTATGTTAACAATCACTCTTGATTCACTCATTTTTGTTTTTACATTTCTTCTGGCAGCTTTGTAAGAATCCATGACTTCAGTTTGTCTAACTCAGTTTTGCTTAGCTCATGGTAAACATCTGGAAAACTATGAAACTTGGTGGTCACTCCTAGGGATTTTAACATTGAGTTTGTCTCTTCTGCCCAAGAATGAAGAACTAACTCATCTGCAGTACCATGACACTGAAATAATTCAGGAAGTACACCATTACTTTTCTGAAGCGCCTAGAGAAGAAGATATAAAGACAGAAAAGTTTAAGAAATTCCATCTATGATCATTCTTAGAAATCAGAGAGACCAGGAAAATTCCAATTTTACCAAGGCTTCGATAACTAATGGGGTAAAAAACACAAGAACAACAGACAGAGGTAGTGCTGTCTGAGGTATACACTGGTGGGCCAGGCCTAGGGGCTTAGCTGGTTCCTGGCACCACTTAAGCTGTAGCTGTATGTCACTTACATTAACTCTACAGAGGATGTCTCAAAAACGGCCAAATCATTTCCTGAAGAAACTGAGTGACTTGGGAAGACAGACCTCTTCATACAATGTGGAAGGAGGGAGTAGTACAGAGCTACGGTACAATCAAGGGGACAATTACATTTTAGTTCTCTATTCTATATTTGCTTTATCATCTCCACTTCTGATATTGAAGGTGTAACATTATAATTGAAGTTGCATCATATTTATATGTGAGGATATTGCTGAATAAGAACTCTCAACTATGTAATTGATTTTGTTTTATGTTCATGATGCAATAAGCAAACCCAGCTATAACCATCATGCAGTTTTAATACGTATAAAATTTATATATATGCTCTCCACAACCACACACATATTTATACCTTCCTCTTTGACATTTTGCTTAACAGTATTTCTCGTACAGGGCATTTCCAAAACATTAATAATCAGCTGGAATTTAATCACTATGACTTATTTGGCCATGAATTCCAGGAATGCTCAATTTACGTAAAGTGTACATCAGCTGTATGCGTTTTTACAGCTTTATTACCAATTTTGTTTTAGTTTCAACATGTATATATTTCTTTTTTCTTCAGTTTTGTTTGTTTTTTTAAATCTGGAACTTACCTGGTAAACAGCAGATGCTTTATTCAGAAAACTGGAAAGAGCAAATACTCCTGCCACATCTTGATGCTTTCTATAAGCTAAATGCATTGCCATGCATCCTCCCATAGAAAATCCTCCTAGAAGCAGCAAAAACACACTTAACAGAAAAAGCAGAATGCATAAAATAATTTAGGATATATAACTATTTTCCATAAATATTTTTAAAATATCTAGAGACCTTTAAAGAGATAGAGTGCTAAAAAGAAATTTTGTCTCCGGTAAGTCTCATAGAAAAAGGCCTGTGATGCATAAATAACCCTGTTTCATCGATGTCACCACTGGTAAAGAGAGTTGTGCTATACAAGGAGCTAGGACTAAACAAATATATCATGTTCATCAAGTAAAATATCTATCATAATTCAAAATGAGTCATATTACAAGCATTACTTAATACTCAATATCTACTTATATTTTGTTTACAGTCACAGAAATCCTCACACTGCAATTAATAACTTGCACCTTTTTGTCTTGCCAAGCTGTGAGCTCCATGAGGAGTTATGTTTCTAGTATCTGGTGTAAAACAGATGCTTAGTGAATTCTGAATTAGGAAGAATGATATAAAATTTGGGGAGCTAGTTAACATGTTTTTGGATTACAATATTATTTTGGAAACTAACTTATGGTGGTATAATAAAAATAAAACATGCATGTCTATATGTAGTTTTTAAAACCAAAGTTTGAAAAAAAAAAAAAAAACATTAGTCAAACTGTTATTGTCTCTTTAATGTACCAAACTCTATGTCAGTCACATATACAGATTAAAATACACAGGCCCTCCTGTTCAGGAGAACTTTGATGAGGAAACACATCCAACACAGAATATGGAGACAGGTGTGTGAGGTGACGTCAGCAGAGAGAATGGCGATTTCAAGGCTGACAACAAGCCACTGACTCAGTGTGACTTTCCTAAGCTTGAGAGAAAGCTAAATGACATCTCATTACATTCCATGAGAAAATAAATATAGAATGTTAATCATGTAGCCACACACTCATGAAAATACAAAAATATATTTTGATGTAGAATTCAAATCTCCTAATTTTCAGTCTGCATTTTTTTTCACTTAACGAAGTATAAAGCTGAGCTCTTATGAGACTATAAATTGAATTTACTACAATAATCTTTTATACATGAAAGGAACTGAGGCCCAAGGAGATTAGGTGACCTGCTTAAGGTTGTGCCCATTATTTAGATACAGAGCTATTAATAGTAATTTTGGAATTCAGATCTTTTGCAACAGAGTTTAATATCCTTTCTACCATTCCTTGATATTTATTAAAATAGGACTACTTTATCTGGGGTAGGCAAGTAATAATATTTTGGACTCAGAATACAATACCTGAGAGAGGATTACCAGTCTGGCAAAGTTTACATTTTAAAAAAGCGCATACTATGTAAATAATGAATAAAAGTTATCTGTGATTTTCAACATACCAGCAAGAAATAATAGGGTCTCATCATCAGTAGCAGTAGTCCACATAGACAAGAGCCACCTAAAAGACTCTTTCAAAATACCTCCTAATAACTCCAGATGCAGATACATCTAATTAGAAGTTCATAAACGATGTTGAGGGAGAAAGGAACATGAGCATTTTAACACTATATGTAAAATTTCCAAATGTACATAAGATTCTCCAAAAGGTTAAAAGCCACTGGGCTACATTATCCATGAATTTGTGCATTAATAAATCTTTGATATGTCCCATTTGGATATGAACAGCTTGCTGTAAATATACAAAATTAATATTTCTAGTAGTTAAACATTTATTGTAGGTACACAGAAAGAATTCTCTTTTTTTTTTTTTTTTTGTCACAATTCTAGTTATAGATCTCTCTCTGCTTCTGAAGTTTTCTCTGTAATAACATCATGGGGTTGTAAAGCCAACACATTTTAAAATAAAATTCTTATCAAGATTTAATTTATTGAATATAAATCAGTTCTTCAGATTTTGAAACCCTTAAGGGTATGAAAGTTTTTCTTCAATAATCAAATTTTCATTAAGTGCTTATGATTAGTTGAACAAAATGTCTTCTCTGCCCTCTTGGTGTACGTATACTAATGAGTTGGTTTCAACTTTACATGCCCAGTGGTGAGTACAGTGCTTTGCATGTAGCAGTAACTCAATAAAAGTTTAACTGAATATTTAGAAACCATATGTTATAGGTTTCTAATGAACGTAGTAATTTACAAATACCTCTTAAACTTATCAAAGAGACAGCATTAGGCTTAATATAAGGAAACTTTAGTCCCCCTGTGACACTCCCTAGCTGAATGTCTTTGAGTAAATTAATTAAAATGTTGGATTTCATTTATAGTAAAACTAGAGAGATGGACTAGATAATCTCTAGAGTTTCCATCAAGCTTTTAAATAATACTTAATAATCAGTTATAAAAATGAAATTCCAAGAGCTTTAAAAATGTAGTTATTGTAAATACAGAAATCTACTTTCAGTTTAAGAATCCCTGTATCTCAGACACAATTCTAGCCTTCCTGAAAGTTCACAGTACAAATCTTAGCAAACACTTACTTCCTTCATCTCTTCCAATCTCCCCTCTGTTCCTTATAGCCCATTTACTTACAAAATAATTTTGGGTTGCTTAAAATCAAACACACTGTTAACAAGAAAACTACACCTCAAAAATGGGAGAGGGGATGTAAGAGAGGAAAAGACGGGATCTGAGCAAAGAGTGAGACACGGAGAACAAAAAAAGACTCAAAGACCATGATGTTAGGGTGGGGGCAGTAATTAAGTTTGCAACTGGGCATTTAACAGTTTCTCTGTAGCAAGGCAATATTCTTTAAGAGATGGAATCATAACAAGTCATACTAGAAATTTTTCTCAGCATTTAATTCCTTAATGAAATAACTTTATTAAATACAAAATTCAAAATCAGACATTCTACATACAGCCACTTCTGCTGCTGATTCTTTTCATGAAATTCAGGGACATAAAGACTTAACAGTCACTAGAATTTAAAGATTATGGGAGTAGGGATTTTTGTGTTTTATTCACCAATATATTCCTCTATGCTTACAACAGTGCCTGTCACATAGAAAGTACTTAATAAATATTTATTAAATAAACTTAATATAACTGTAACTCAATAAGAGTATCTCTGCAAGGAGAAACATTTATCATCAGGAAATACAGGTGTTTGGTGATTTAGTCTGATATAAAATAAAGCTTAAAAAAAACCTAGGAAATCAAGGAACAAATGAGTAGTGTGCTCCAGGGCCACCATTCCTAATCTGACCTCTTAAAAGATTTTAGACCCAATCCCAGACCCACTAAAAAAAAATTTCACTGCATATGTCTAATTTTTAAAAGCTTTAATGCCATAAATCAGATGTCTAGAATCACAGCTGTGTGGGCAAATAATTCAAAATTAAGTATAATGGGTAAAAACAAAAAGTGAAAATGTAGTCATGATTTAAAGAAAAATCCATACACAATAGATACCAAGGCTGCAGGAGTCAAGTTGTTATTTTTCTGAAAAATTCAAGAGCTTGAAATATGTGTCTGCCAAATGTAACTAATTAATATTGAAATATGCTAGTGTGACCAAAGAACAAAATTTTAAATTTTATTTAATTTTAACTAAAGAGCCACATGTAGCTAGTGGCTACCATAGTTCTAGATCATGTAAGCTGTACAAATGATTGAAAAAAGCTTCAAAATGTATAAATGAAGCAAAAATAAAGTTAGTATTTCATAGATAATTTTGAGGTTAACATAAAGATCATTAAAAGATAAAATGTAAATAAAATAGATTAGTAGGCAAAAACTTAGATTAAAAAAATATTTTAAAAGCATACCTATCAAGGACATTTTACATATTAAGTGACGAACACTTCATTTTTGTTGACCAGGGAATGTAATCACTTTTTGTAGTTTCAGAGCCCCTTGATGGTAACAACTTTAAAAAAAAAAGAGAGAGAGAAGGAAAACATTTCCCTCTCATAAAATGTCATTATGAACACACATAAATGCATCCAGCAGACATTTAACTTCATGTTCAATTCTTAAAGTTACAATGAAGAAAAATATACTCATTGGAATATTATTATTTTAAGATTTAATCTAAAGTCCCTTTCCCATTTATGATTTTGTGAGGTAATCTGTAATTCCTCACTAGCCGTCTTTGACAATACAATGACCTTTAGCATGGGACACTACTGTGAAAAGGGACTTTGTGTATTTTTTCATAACAGAAGAAAATTTAACACAAAGGACTAGTTATTTGAATTCAATTTTCCACCTAAGAGTCTAAAAAATGATATAAAATCTACCATTCAATAAGTAAATACCAAAATAGTAAATCCATTGTAGGTAATGATTATAACGGATATTTACAGTTGCTGGCAAAGTATTTAAAATGTCAAGAGTTAACATTTCAACATACACTTAAGATTAACAAGCTGAATAAAACATGTTAAAAAATAATAAACCTGGCTTTATGAGCTCTTTATATAAAATAAAACAGAAACAATCTATAAAAAGACTATATTGGGAAAATTAAGATAATCAAACTGAAAGTAAAATCCTAAAAAAAAAAAAAATCCAGTTACAATTAAAGTGTGCTATCAACTGAAAAGAACTTTAAACATACAATAAAGTCCATTACCATCCTAACTTTCAACAGCTCCTTTACTTAACTGATGTACTATTTTAATTATTCTTCATATTTGGGAATACAGAAATTATGACTAACATACTTATTTGTATATCTCCTCTCATACAAAACTTGTGGGATAAACAAAATATATATTTTCCTCTATGGAAAACTCTTAGAACAATGGTCCAGAGCCTTTAAAGTCTTACTAGTTGTTGAAGAAACATAAAATGTTTAATTAAAATACATGTATGTTCAAAGAAAGTAGAAGAATGCTATCATTCTGAAGTTTTAGCTCCCAGTAGGCTTTAGAAAAAATTGTGTACAAATTGAGAAAAAGGCAGCCTGGAAATTTTGGTGCTAGACTTCATTTTGGGAATTCCAACTATCCCTTCATTTATTTTTATTTTTAATCTTATTGCAAAATTAATATACACCCATTGTACAAAATGTTTCTTGTACAA